CCTCCCCTGTCCCTCCACTCCCCTCCCTTTTCCCTCCCCATCTAGCCCATTGAGTGTTGTTCCCTTCCCTGTGCTCAAGTGTTCTCATTGTTTATCACCCGCCTATGAGTGAAAACATGCGGTGTTTGGTTTTCTGTTCTTGTGTCAGTTTGCTGAAAATGATGGTTTCTAGATTCATCCATGTCTCTACAAAGGACACAGACTCGTTTTTTATGGCTGTACAGTATTCCACGGTATATGTGTGCCACATTTTCTTTGTCCAGCCTACCATTGATGGGCATTTGAGTTGGTTCTAGGTCTTTGCTGTCATAAACAGTGCCACAATGAACATACATGTGCATGTGTCTTTATAATAGAACAATTTATAATCCTTTGGGTATATACTCAACAATGGGATTGCTGGGTCAAATGGAATTTTCCTATTTCTAGATCCTTGAGTAATTGCTGCACTGTCTTCCATACTGGTTGAACTAATTTATGCTCCCACCAACAGTATAAAAGTATTCCATTTTCTCCACATCTCTCTAGCATCCGTCGTCTCTAGATTTTTTTAATGATTGCCATTCTAACTGGCCTGAGATGGTATCTCAATGTGGTTTTGATTTGCATTTCTCTAATGATCAGTGATGATGAGTATTTTTTCATATGTTTGTTGGCCTCATAAACAAAAATATTTTCACATATTTTTAATGAAAAATTCACAATAAATATGTATAACATGTTAATCTTACATATCTACATTGATTTTGGTTACTAGATTATTTCCTGTGATCAAAGAAACCTAAGATTATTTTACCAAAGCATTTTTTCTGAGTTTATTAAATAATTACTGATTACAAAAACTTGTAATGATTTGGGTCATACACAAGAAAAGGCACAGGATGAATCACTGGAGATTATTCTAATATGACTTAGATACAGTATATACCTGCCTTACAGGCATCTTGGTCATGTCTTTGAATATTTTTTTTCTGTGTATTCTGAATGCCTGATCATCTAAAAAATATTTTTAAGATGATTTTGCCTTTGAAACACATTCAATATATATATTTAAAAACTTGCATAAGTAGGTACATACCACAGAATCAATTCTTACAGATTAAAAGTAGCATGATGGACTTGTAGTAGTTGGCTTAAATGCATAAGTCCTCTTTATCTAAAATATGATATTGTAAACTCAGTTACATTTTGAAGCAGTATATACCTGCTTTTTTTTTTTTTTTTTTTTTTTGGTTACTTCTTACTTTGGTGATTTATATTCTGTCAGTTTTCTTGGAGAAAGTAAATGAGCATAGAATTATGTTTTATAGTTAGCTAAACAAATCAATGCTTTATATTAATCAGTGGGATTGTTTTTCACTTTTGATTCTAAAATTTGTTACAGATGTTAATAAAGTAATTGTAGATGCATGTAATGCTTGAGATAATTGTGCCATAATATAACAGTGTTAATGTTCTTAAGAGAGACCACCTTGTAAAATAATTTGAAAAAATACGTATTTTACGACTTTAAAAATACTTTTGAAGCAATGTTAAGTTTTCCTATTAACTTTTTAAAATGTGAATTTCTAGTTCATTACTTTGATGTTTTGAATAAGGATCTGAAACAGTGTGTACTCATAACATTTGTAGTGATATTATGAAACTCATTTCATTTTTAATTCTTTGAATCAAAAGAAACATTTGGATGTTTTGTATGGTTAATGTTTTAATGCGGTGTGTTTTATTTACTACCTTTCGTTAAATGCCATTATTTTTCCATTTAGTTTTGCTGGTATTTTATTTTGTGGAGATTTACCAGTGAGTTGCTACACATTTGCTTTGAGTTTCCATGATAGCTTATGATTTAGTTTCTATTCCTCAGAATTTAGTTTACTTTGATGATGACTCTGATTTAAAATTGTTCTACAATGAAGTGGTTCAGTAGTAGAAGTTTACTCTTTTGAAAGCATAGTTTATTGAATTAATAGAATTTTATTCTAAAATAGTTGAAATAAGACAGTTTTTCTAAAATCTTTTCTAATCCTTCAGATCTAATATTACTTGGAGCTGTTTAGTATTGACTAGTTTCATCTGCTTTTAGAATCTTTTTATTCCTTTTGAAAAATTAGGTTTTGAAGATCCTGAGTCTTCCTGGTACAATTTTTTATGCACATGTTGATAATTTTGCAACTATTATGTAGATTCAAAGAATCTGTTTTATCTACCAATTCTAGCTCATAATACAAACTTTCATTTTTACCATCCTTCTTTCCACTTTGGTGGACCTTAAGCAATGCATTATTTAGGTATATTCTTTTTTTTTTTTTTTTTTGAGACGGAGTTTCGCTCTTGTTACCCAGGCTGGAGTGCAGTGGCACGATCTCGGCTCACCACAACCTCCGCCTCCCGGGTTCAGGCAGTTCTCCTACCTCAGCCTCCTGAGTAGCTGGGATCACAGGCACGCGCCACCATGCCCAGCTAATTTTTTTAGTATTTTTAGTAGAGACGGGGTTTCACCATGTTGACCAGGATGGTCTCGATCACTTGACCTCGTGATCCACCCGCCTCGGCCTCCCAAAGTGCTGGGATTACAGGCTTGAGCCACCGCGCCCGGCTTTTTAGGTATATTCTTAAGATTTGCAAATTAACTTTCTTCTTAGAGAAATGAACAGAGACGATTTCCCTTCATACCACCAATCCTGACTCCCTTTGAGTGCCTTTTATTGTGAACATAGACTCTGCAGTGATAGGAAAGTGTTAAATGTGGGGTTTTAAAGAATCTTGGGCTTGATACTTACAGTCCTTTAATTAACATATGTATTCTCAGAAGTAAAAAAAAAAATGTTACTTTAAAATGTTAAACTTTAACTAGAATTCATCTGGGACCAGGAATATATTAAATGATTCCTAGACAAATATAAAGTTTATGTAGAGCTGAGTATAGAAGATGCACAAGGCACAGAGGAGTCTTTTCTAAACACTGAGATCCAGAAACTTTGCCCACCCACAAAGCCATGAGGCTAACCACATGTTAAATGTTTAAGTAGTTTACTAGTTTATAAGAGTCAATGTGCCACTTTTCATTAAAATGAAATTAGATGTTCTTTCTTGGATGGCAGAAGGATAGCCTTATCTTTTTTATGTATAGGTGAGAAAGAACTGTTGGAAATACATGGGAAATACTCTTTTATTGTAATTTCTATGTAGTGAATTACTAAACAGTACAAAAAGACATCAAAAATACCTAGTTGATAAGTAGTTATAAGCAAATTTGCAGAACTCAAACTACATGAAATTTTTGGCTGTATTTCAATGAATGCAAGCCTGTCCTGGCTGTAGGTTTATTTTATTAAGGCAACAACGTTTACATTTCTCTTGAGTTACCCTTTTGTAACCTTCTGCTGTGGTTGTATAAAAGTGACCTGTGTGTTTGTGTGTGTGTGTGTGTGTGTTTTTAATTAAAACTGTGGTTTTGTACCAACTGATTTTTTTTCCTGGAATACGTAAGTAGTTGGTATATTTTAGAAGTTGAAACTTAGTAGCACTTTGTAAAGTATATGCTGAAGTTTCATGGTATTAGGAAAAACATCTGCAGGAGATTGTCTTCTGTCTTCATGTTGTCATCAGGCCTTTGCATCTGGTAAAAGGGAATTTTGAGATACATCCTACTTCTTCATGCTTGAATTTTGTTACCCTAATTATGCATTTCATAAGGTTGCATTCTGTATCTGTGCTTAAGTTAATTCATAAAAAGACCCTGAAAATAGTTCTCCTATGTCTCCTTGATGTCTTAAATGTTTCCCTGTAATTTAAGTCATTGATTTGATGGGATAACATAGAAATAAGTCAGTTTGTAGATGGTATCTAAGTAATAAAGGTATTTCTGTAGTTCAAAAATTTAAATAGTGTGTTGAGGCTTTTAAACATTAAGCAGCACTGTTGTTCCTTAGTCCAGCTGGCACGGGGGTATGTAGTGAGTTACAGGCGCATGCCACCATACCTGGTAGTTTTTGTATTTTTTGTAGAGACAGCATTTCACCTTGTTTCACAGGCTGGTCTCAAACTTGTCAGCTCAAGTGATCTGCATGTCTCAGCCTCTGCCTCCCATACTGCTGGGATTACAGGAGTAAGCCACCATGCCTGACCAAGAGTGACAAGGGTTAATGTATTTCAGCTCAAGTGATCTGCATGCTTCAGCCTCTGCCTCCCATACTGCTGGGATTACAGGAGTAAGCCACCATGCCTGGCCAAGAGTGACAAGGGTTAATGTATTGTGTTTTTTAAAATAGTTAGAAGAGAGGACTCTAATAAATGTTCCCAAAATATAGAAATGATAAACGTTGAAGATAATGGTCAGCCTAGATACACTGACTTGATCAATACACATTCTATGTATGTAACAAAATATCACAGTACCCTGTGAGTATGTAGGAGTATTATGTATCAATTAAAAAAATTAAAAATGTTTTAAAAATGTTCACTAGAAAATTTTCAAGAAAAACATTACAACTACTTAAAAATAGTCTCCATAAAAGCCCTCTTGGTTTACTTTAAGAAATAACTATTTGTTAGAGATGACAATTATTGATCACATTGAAAGAGATTCTCTTAAAAAACTTAAGTTACTTAATTGGATAATCACTCTTCTTGAATTTTATTTATATTGTTAATATCTTAGTATATGTAAGACTATTTCTGTCTTGCCTAGTAAAAGATTATGAATTAGGTTGAATGATTTAATGAAATTACACATCCTTTATGTATCTGACTCTAAGTGAAATAGAATATTAGCATTTGGTTTTTTACCATTGTGTTTTCAGTGTTTACTACATCTGTATTTATAAGAAAGGATACATTGATCTTAAGTATGACTTGAAGCAAAACTAGAAATTAACACACGTTGATAAAGATTATTGCAGTATTGTAATCATACGGGTTTTAGGTTTCTTTAATGTTTTTTCCCTCAAGAGAAAGTTGAAAGGAATGATATTCTAAAGATTGTCTTTTGTATTTTGCAGGTTCATTTTCTTGATTTTAAATTAGTACCTCCCAGTCAGAAAATGGAAAACCTAATGCTGATCAGAGAATTTGCAAAGGAAGTAAAAAAAAGAAATATTTGGTTATGTGGTCTTCTCATATCTTACCCACAGGTAGGTAAAATGTTTATTTTCTGAATGTATGTTATGTAAACTATAGTTTTAATGGTAGATATCTGGTTTGTTAAAAGCAGGAAGATATTATTGATAACAGGAATTATGGCTGGAAAATTAGTCATCTGTATGTGTTCTATAATAGTAGAACCTCTTGCCTCTAGTAGAAAAAACCAATTCAACTTGATTTGTGGGGCAATGCTTAATGAGCATATATCTCATACTAGGTATCCCAAATAGAACTGTCAGGTTTATCAAATAAAAGTTCAAATTTGCCCAGTTAAAACTGAATTTCAAATGTATAATGCTTTTTGTAACTGTGTTCCAAATAAGAAATTTGAACTTCAAATATAACCAAATTCTTATATTTATCCTGCAAACTTGCAAAGCCATAATCCTTGTCCACTGGTATAATTTGAGATTGTTTATTTTTATATTATGTTGAATATATTGGTAGTCAGTTGTTTCTCTCCCTTAACAGATTATTTAATCATCTGAAAGCACTGCCTGGCATTCATATTACAAGAGGGCATGGTAGTGACTTAGAGAGATGCATTTATTGTCACTTTCTTTAATAGCTACATGTCAAGTACACTGAAGGCACAATGAGCTAGCGTTAGAGATTCTTTGTGCAGAGAAATGCTATTTAGAACAAATAATTTGGAGACTCTGTCAGAAAATAGAATTAGGAGAAAAAATTGGAGAATCTACAGATTTGTCCTTTGTACATAGATAGCTTTCATTGGATTTGTGACTACTTTATAATTTCTTGGCGGTAACATACAAGAGTCTTGCAAGTTAAACTGTGCACTGCCTTTTTTAGTGGTATCAAATAAAAGTAATTTGTACTGAATGTCCAGCGAATGACAGATATTTAAAGTTATTTATGGATGATAACAGCTATTGTTTATGAAAATTTTGAGCTGCATTTTTAACCTATGGGTAACATTTCTTCTGAAACTATGCATTTTAATGAAATGTAAGGATTATCTTTCAGCTAGTCCCTTGGTTTTTTTTTAACTTAGAGGTTGTTGTTTTCTATTCTTCCAAAATAAGCAAGCATGACCACAGTTATTAAGAACTAGACACATTTTAGTTCACCTAGAATAATAGAATTACAAAATCTTAATGTTGTTGGGGGGCTACTGAAGTCAGGGGAACCAAGGCCCAAGAAGTTATATATAGTTGCCCAAGGGCAGATAACTGGCAGAGTAACAGAATTCAGATCTTCATCCATGATGAGTAATATTTTCTCTTTAAGAAATTATTTTTGGGCTGGTGCAGTGGCTCACACCTGTAATTCTAGCACTTTGGGAAAGGTGGGCAGATCACTTGAGGTCAGGAATTCCAGACTAGCCTAGCCAACATGGTGAAACCCCTGTCTCTACAAAAAAAAAAAAATGAAAAAAATTAGCTGGGCATGGTGGTGGGTGCCTGTAGTCCCACCTACCTGGGAAGCTGAGGTGGGAGAATCGCTTGAACCCGGGAGCCGGAGATTGCAGTGAGTAGAGATTTGCTGCCCTGCACTCCAGTCTGGGCAACAGAGTGAGGCCCTATCTCAAAAACAGAAAAAAATCTTTTTTGGTTGTATTCAGATGATTACAGTGGGAAAAATCTGTTCATTTTTTCATGTCATTTAAAGGAGTCATGGACAAACACTACTATTGTCACATTGTGCAGTTAGAAAATAGAGTTTATTGAGGCAAATCTCAAACAGAAATCGAAGAGCATGAATAATTCGGATAGCACTCTTGGCCAGGCAAAAAGTGTCTGCATGCACTGTACTGAAGCTGACTTTTCGGTAGAGTAATGTTGCCAGGTTATATATATGATGCCCAGTTAAATTTGAATTTCACATAAACAATAATTTTTACTGTGTGTCCCAATGGTTACATGGAGAATACTTGAATTTAAAAAATCTTTGATGTTTACTTGAAATTCAGATTTAACATGCAAACTCAAAAAGAAAATTTATCAGTTAAAACAATCTATTTGTAGATAGCTTAATGTTAGACTTCAGGATTATGTTATTGGCTTGGCCATTTATACACAGCATAAAGTTTTCTGACTCTATTATCCAGTGCTCAGTAACTCGTACAATAATTTGGAATGATTTGAAATTCTTGCTTTAGATTAGAAGTGCAATATAAAGCTTACTTTTACAGTTTGTTGAATCAATTTAAACCAGGCCTTATCTTTCTAAAATAATTCTATAGACAGGACTTTGGATAATTAAAACGAGCTTTCATAGTTTAATACTTACAAGGAAATAAGGGACAAATACAAAAGTTACCAAAGCAGTTCTGTAAATTTTTGGGTTTTTTTAAACAATTGTAAAAGATTTATGAGAGTTGCTATAAAAATCCCCAAAACAGGATATGGAACAATAAAATGAAATTTTTTGGTGACAAAATTAAATAAGACTAAGTCTCTTTCCAATATAATTTTAAATAATTTTATGTGTAACATATTCATTTGTAATTATTAATCTAATTTTGCTATACAAGTCATCACTAAGGTCCATGATACAGAATTATGTTTGAGGAATCTGTTCTAATCACCTAAAAATCTGTATTTGATCTAGCGGTGAACTTACAGAGACATATTTCTGGCATGAATAGCTCAAGCCAACAGTTTAGAGTATGTAGTCTTAATTTTGTTGAAACTCAAAGATACCTCTATGATCACTTTTTAATGCACATATTTGTAACTATGTATTTTTCAGTTTCACATGTGAACTTTTGTGACAGTGAATATTTTAAAGCCTATAAAATAAAGTGTTACAAGCAGTTTTGTCTTTAATGTGGATTTTACATGCTTAGGGACTTAGCAATGTAAGCAAATAAGTTCAAGGTTTAAAAGCTCCCATAAACTATTATAACTGATGGTTTCTTTTGCTGAACTAATGTCTGTTGCCCCCCACCCCACGTTGGAAAAACTAGTTATATCACCTTGGACAAGCAATGTAAGTTTTATAGGTCCCAGGGTCTTCATTTGTAAAATGCAGGTGTCAGAACTTCCACATTATAGCCTTTGTTGGATGAGAAAGTGGAGACAGAGGATGGTGTGCTGGCTGTGTCCAGGGATGTGTTACACATACATATCTCACTCTGACACACAGACCTTCTGGAACTGAGCCTGGGTTTTCTTGCCCTTCCATATGTGACCACAAACTTCACCTGCTCTCTTATTTCCTTTTACTGAGAAATAATTCATTATCGTATATATATTTTAGTAGCGTTCAGAAAGGGAACTGTTCTTTTGTCAGACATCTTGATCAAAGCACAGTAGTAGACAATAGGGGAGTTGGATCCATCAGAGGAAGGCTGAGGAGCATATTAAACGTGGCAGCATGGTGGGGAGTATGTATCATTTTACTCTATCCATTTTCTCTTATTTCTTCTCCATTAAACTGTCACTTCACTAAGTTGTAATATAGTGGGAAATAGAATTTTTGAAAGTAATGTTGGCTTAGTGAGCATTTTAATTGAATGGGGACGTTGGAAAAGATGGCACCAGTTGGCAGAGTTAAAAAAAAAAAAAAAAAACAAGCTGCGGAGAGGCTGTGGGATAAAGCAGAGGCACTCTCTTACCCTCTCCCTTCTCCTGAATTCTGTGTTTTCTTTTGTTCCTATGACTGCAGATCTGGGCGTCATACAAATAAGAAAGTTACCAAAGCAGTTCTGTAATTTTTTTGTTTTTTTAAAAAAAATTGTAAAAGATTTATGAGAATTATTATAAAAATCTCCAAAACAGGATATTAAACAAAAAAATAATTACTTCTGGTAACAAAATTAAATTAGATAAAGCTGTATGTACTGGTCTTGTATCACAAAATAGAAACCGTATTGCTCTACTCGATAATGTAAGTACTATTGTTTTTCTCTATCGTCTTGGTTTTGAAAACCTTCAAGGTTTTCTGTTCATTATAAAGGACATCCAGGAAACATTGTTGATTGTGAAACTCCATGTTAGGTCAACTCATAATGATAAAGGAATCAGTTTCACTGCTCTATTACAGCTTTGGTCCTAACGATCTGAATGTATAGGGTATCACTGACATCAGTTTTTTCATCTCAAAGGTCCACATTTGCTCTGTGTTGCTAGATAGAGGAATCATCCTTTTAGTATGCATGATCCTTTAGAGAACAAATGGGTGTAGGCTGTCACTTAGCAGAACAGTGATTTTTGTTTTGTTTTGTTTTGGTTATCATGGGTGAGGTTAGACTTAGAAGTTTGACTTCCTGCAATGAGCAATTACTTGGAATTTAACTGGGAATTATTTACTAAACACACGAAACTTTCCATGGCAGTGAATCATATGGCAGAGGCACCAAACATGCAACACCAAATCTGTTTACAGAAACCCATAATACCCTGTTCAAAGTAATCAGGCCTTTTTGATGTGGGAATGTTTATGAGACTAAATATTTTTCACTTTCAATATTGTTTTGGTTTTTATTGTTTAGACTTAGTCATTCTTTGGGAAAATATAAAGGTCATAAAATACGTTTTCAAAAATTTGTAGTTTTGAAAAAATTGTTTTTTGGAGAGTTTGGTTACCTTACTTGGCAGACTCATTAGAGAGCGGCACTAAGCTTGTTTTATTTATATATATGCAAATGAAATGCAATATTAGACACACACCTTGTATAGATTTTTCTATTAATACGTAATGTACATATTTTCAGGGTACATTTGATAATTTGATCCATTCACATCATGTGTAAAAACAAAATTGGGGTAATCAGGATATTCATCACCTTGAATATTTACCTTTATGCAGGAACATTTTAGTTATGTTCTTCTAGCTACTTTGAAATGTACAATAGATGGTTAACTATTGCCACCATACTGATGTGTCCAACAGTAAGTTTTCTTTTTATCTAACAGTATGTTTGTACCCACATCTCTTTGATTTTCGTGGATAAAAGAAACAACTTTCTGTATGAAAATGAAGAGAAGCATCCTCTAACTTAAGGAGGATACTGCTATGGAAA